TCTTAAACGATCGTTACGTATTTAATGTTATTGATATTTTTATATGCAATAAAGCAGTTAAATAAAAGAAAATATTTTCATCGATTTTATAGATTGATATAGCAATGTTATTAAACAAGATTACCATCAAAACAATTGCTGACACAGAATTTTTACGAAAAATACTTTTAGTACTCTTTTTTTATTATTATTTTGTATTAATATTGGACAAAAAAAGTGAAATTATTATGTTTGTAATTTTAATATAATTTATGGTTATGAAATATAAAATGAAACACCGGTTTCTTTCTTTTTCCAATTAGCACTTATTTGCAGCTATTTTGATCTAAAAGAAACAATTATTCATCATTCAAATTTCTTTAATATACTAAATCAATTTTTGATAAATTTTTGAATGTGAATATTAAAAAAAAAACTACTTTTTTTGGATTTTATATTTTAGTACGAATATAATTCCGATAATCTACCAGGCTTTTTTGATAACTATTAGATTGTTTTTTTTTTATGATTAAAGAATACCAAAATATATTTTTGCTTGCAATTAGAGAGGCAGAAAAAAATTTATAAAAGGGATACCGGTGTCCCAAAGGGCTATGCATATTACATATACTAATATAAACTATTATAGATATACTAAGAGGTTCCCCTTCAACTTCTGCCAGCTTGATTAATACACAGTTTTCAATTCTAAACGATGAACGGATAATTGTATCATAATTAAAAATTATTCAACTAAGAGAGTTTTTTATAGCACTTTTTCATTGTACAATGCGTTGTTTCTTTATTGGTATTTTTTACTGAAAGAAACAGAGGGGAAAAGATGAATGAGGCATATTAGAAAAACCTTCAAAGAATTTTAATTCAATCTTCAAGTTTCATTCAGGCAATCAAACTGGTTTTCAAACTTTTCATACCATATTCCTTACTAGTGATTTGCAATCCTTAATGCTGGCACTTTATTGACTTCCTTTTTGATAAGAATACTGAAAATACATTGATTAGGTAACATCCTTTAGATTTGATTAATAATAATTATTACCTTTAATCTTTTTGAAATATGAAACACCTGCTTTTTAATGATCACTTTTTACCTATTTACTTCAAGCATTCGAAAATTAATTATTTTGAAATAATTGTTCAATTTTTTTTATTTACTATTTTTTTTCTTCAGAATACTGTTAATTTTTGGCATTCCTACTATTAGTTCACACTCTCCCTATATCTTGTTCAATTTTTCAATCGTTAATAAAATACTTTTTATTCCTCCACACAAGTTCAAATACATTTTTTGAAATTTGTAGTGGATAATACTTGATGTTAATGCAGTTTTTTAACATATTAATTCATTAATTAAATTGGGATGAATGAAAAACGAAATGGAATTTTCTGATTGGTTAAGCTTTCGTCATTGTTTTAAATTTTACTTATAAGGGATTCAGTTTTTTCACACATTTTGAAAATAACATCAATAATAATTTCTAACTTATAGCTCTATTTGAACAAAAAATAGTTTATTGCGAACATTTAAATATTTAATTATTTCATATTCACTGTGTCAGATAAATTCATATGATTTCAAGCCCTCCTTTGCCCATTCTTATGACCTCATTAATGGTTAATTCTTAAGTAAATGAATAATTCTCAAAGGGGAAGTTTAAATAACGAAAAACGATGTCTATTTTCTTAAATAGCTATGTTCATTTTTTTTTTTAAAAAATGCATTTTGAACAATGTCCGTTTTCTTAACTCTCCAAGCGTTGAGCACCAGTGTAAAATTGTACAGAAATTTTCATCTATGCACTATTTTCCTTTTCAATAACAAACAGAAATCGTTTTTTTGGAAGTTTCGAAAGAGCCGGGATAACGCTCAGAGGGTTAAAAATGCCTTTCGAGCTGTGTCCATTTTCTTAAATACGCATTTTGAGCTATGTCCAGAATAAAAAGTTCACCGGTGACTAATATATAATGTTTTTGTGATGTCACTTTTCGGTCAAATGTTATTCTAATTTTTATTCGAAAACTTCGATGAAAGGGAAAAAAAATGCAGATTAATTTATTCATCTGTACTCTTTGCTATCAGGAAAAAAAACAATAAACAAATTTTCAAGAATAAAGTTTTTTTTTTTAAAATCATAATTGACAAGAGCATAAAAGATGCATTTGGCATAAATGTTAAAGCAATTTTTTCTTTCTTTCAAAAACCAGCATTACGGCGGAGAAAAATTCTCTTTAAATGTTGAATATTTAGATTTTAAAATTGATATTGTTAACAATTTTATTAAAATTGGTGTTTTTGATAAAAGAAAAGCTTTTAAATTTAAAGTTATTTTTTTCTGCAACTTTTATACTAATTTGTGTAACAAAATTTAAAAAATTTAGTTTTTTCACAATTGGTTAGGATCAAAAATATTTGCTATAATGTTGAAAGTTTTCGGGAAGCTGTGAATAATTTTTTGAAAAATTTGAGTAATAATGATTTTTCTTTTAATTTTTGTAATGTTAATTTTTTAATTAAGAAATTGATTGAAGAATTCTAGGTTTTTATATATTTTTTTCTTTTAACAGGGCGCAATTCAAGTCTTAACTGAGCAGCCCCAGTTGAGCATTCTATTAGTTTGTTACGTATCTCTTTCTCTTGACTTCTTTTATTTTATTTTCTATCTGCGTATTGTAATAGAGGGCGTTGTTTTCTTTAGTTTTCAGTGTTTCTTTTTCATTCCGCTTGCTTGTGAAATCGATGTTCGACCTGGTTAAGTGAGTTTTTATTTTCTGATGATTTCGTTTGAGTTTCTTTTCTAAATTGGTTATTTGTATTTCATGTTAATTCCTGGTCTTCTATACAAAACCATCGGGGTACTGAGGGAGTTAATTTAGGCATTTGCTTCTCTCTCAATTAGAAATGGTTTTGTTTTATGGCTACCGGGGTCGGTACCCCCTGAAGACATCGGCTTCGGTGGTCATATTTTTTATTTCCTTCGTTTCCTTTATTTTGTTTAATTAACATATTTTTACATTGTTTCATAAGTTTCCTGTGTTTGAAGCTTATATGAAACAAAAGTGCTGTTATTAAAGAATCCCAATAGATAGACTGTCTATTGAGATTTTTTAAGACAGAATACAATGCAAACAGTATTTTTTCACCTTTTTATATTTTATAGTGAGTTGGAAGAGGTGCACAAATTTTTTTTTCTTCAGAAAATACACAAACTGTTAACCAACCTGTAATAAATATAAATTTTCATTTAGATTCTTTATTTAAAGTAACTCCTAAAAGCGTGAAAGCCCGTAGCCAGAATTTCGATTAAAGCATAAAAGAGCACCCTCTCTTCGCAGTTGGGACAGTCCACTGTAAACATTAACTAGAAAAATAATATTTATTAAATATTAATTTTGAAATATTAATAGACATGATATTGAAACTAAATAAATAAATCAATAAATAAATAAAATAGAACAAAAATATGTGAAATAAAAAAAATTGAAGAATGAAGAAGAAAAGGATTTTAGAAGATTACATTTTGTTTTTACTTTGAAAATTTTTACATTTAATACTGTTTATAATAATTTCTAGCAAGTTTTAGTTTAAATAAATTTTCATTATTAACAGATTACAATTATAGCATTTGAAAAATGATCAAATTATCTTGAAAGAATGGAAAATCCATGTTTGTCTGGGGGACTAGAGGGTCTTATACTTTGCTAGTCCAACGACCTGAGCGCGAAGTTGACCACTTTACGGTAGAACAGTTAACCGAAAATCAATACCGTGCCCCCTCGGTCCATTCGCGGGCTGATCAAAGTAGTCACCCATCCGCTTACTGACTGCAGCCAGTGATGTTTGACTTCGGTCTTCTACTGAGAACCGTGCTTAACGATTAGTACACTGCGGGAAAAGGGTGAGGACCTTTTTCATTGGATGTGATTTTTTGCACCCGAATAAAGCCAGACTCTCATTCGCCGGCGGAAAAGATTATATTTAGTGAGAATAGGCCGTAAATAGCTCTGAACTTAAAAGCCACATCTTTCAAACGATTCTGTAAGTGAACAAAAATAGACTTTGTTAAACCAGGACTGAGGAACAATAACAAAAAATAAAGCTACTTTTATCGAATCCTCTAGATGTATGTTCCTGCTGGCCTTCTTTGAATTTCGCTATATGTTCTATTTAAGAAAGGTTTCATGTGAGCACTCAAGTCTACTCATGGCCTTTAATAGATGTATGTGAAATAATAGAAGTAACATGAATGGGAAATAATTGAAAATGGCGAATTTCGACAAATATCATAGTTCTTTATGATTATATCCCTTAATAACATGGCAATTTTAATTTCGATGGTAATTTTATGTACTTGCGATTCTATATTGATGCAATCATTTGCCTTGTTTTTATTTAATAAGTAGTTCTAACTCGATCAAAAGGGCGTCTACTAGGGGGAGAAAAAAATCTTGCAGAAATTTTTTAAAACTTAAAAACTGATACTTTACTATAGAAATTTATTTATTCAAAAATTGTATCACTAAAATTGCTGAAGAAAAAGTAGTGCCTAATAAAATCGACTCATTTATGAAACATTTGTAACACTTAACATGTTAAATCTGAAAAAAAGCCTTATTCTTCCAGGAAGGTTTCAGAATCGGTTTCTACGCCAAATTAATCGCCAAGATTTGAGGGGGGAGGGAAACAGAAAAGGGATCAACTCAAAGTGTCAAAATCCTCTTGTTGTTTTGGAGATAGCTCAACACTAAATCTTTTACTCATGCCATTAACTTAAAAATATCATCTCTATATCTCAAAGAAAAACTTTATCCATGTCAGATTAAATTTACATGCAGCGATGGTTTAAATAAAGGAAGAATATATGCGAAAGGCAGAGAATTGGTTTAAACACATTCTCTTAATATTGGGAAGAAGCGTTATTCATTCCCTGCCTTTGTAAAATCTTGAATAAAAAATCAAAAATTTTTAATAAACACTTTTGTTCTTATCTCATTCAAGCAGAATGTCTGAAAACTCTGAAATAGATAAGAGCAATTTAAATATAAAGAATATTTTTCCTACTGGCAAGAAGCCTTATTCATGCGGTGTGTGCGATAAAACATTCACTCGAAAAAGTCGTTTAAAGGAACACTCTCTTATTCACACTGAAAAGAAACCTTTTTCTTGCAGTATTTGTCATAAATCTTTCTCTTATAAAGATAGTTTGATTGGACATTATAGTACTCATACTGAAGAGAAACCATATTTATGCAATGTGTGTAATAAAGCATTCTCACGTGTAAGTCATTTGAAAGAACATTCTATAGTTCATACCGGAGAAAAACCTTATTCATGCCCTGTGTGTGATAAAACTTTCTCTCGCAAAGAAGGTTTAAATAAACACAGTGTTGTCCATACTGGAGAAAAACCTTTCTCATGCAATGTCTGTGATAAAAAATTTTCACGGAAAGCTCATTTAAAAGTGCACTCTCTTGTTCATATTGGAGAGATATCTTATTCATGCAATGTATGTAATAAAACATTCTCAGAGAAAATTCTTTTAAACGAACACTCTCTTGTTCACAGCGGAGAAATACCTTATTCGTGCAATATATGCGATAAAATGTTCTCAGAGAAAAATCTTTTAAAAGAACACTCTGTTGTTCACGGTGAAGAAAAACCTTATTCATGCAGTGTATGCCATAAAACATTTTCACAGAAAGTTCATTTAAAAAAGCATTATATTGTTCATACAGGTGAGAAACCTTACTCTTGCAGTGTGTGTTACAAAACTTTCACACAGAAAGCTAATTTAAATAGACACTATCTTCTTCATACTGGCGAAAAACCTTATACATGCAGTGTGTGCGAAAAAACTTTCTCACGGAAAACTAGTTTGACTGAGCATAGTGTAGTCCATACTGGAACTAAACCTTATTCATGTACTATATGTGAAAAATCTTTCATAAGGAAATCTAATTTAACTAAACATCATGTAACTAAACATCATTTATCTAAACATCATTAACTAAGGCCTCATGCGATGTGTGTCTCATAAATCTCATGCAAATAAAACTGTGCTTTGAAAATAACAAATGTTAAGTTGCTTATGCTAGAGAAGGAAATCTGCAGCCTGTATGATTAAATATTCTTCCAGAAAACTTATTAATACAGGGTGGCCAAAACAGAAAAATTGAGTAAACAAATTGATTTTAATAAATCTTATCTTCTATAAAGATAGATTTATTTGTATATAAAGCAAATATATCTAGCTGGTAAAACAACCTAATTTCAAAATGTGAATTGGAATTAAAATTTCTAACAGCCTCATGGTCCTTTTTTTCCCCTTCTTAAATTTTTACATTTGTGGCCACCATGTTATATTAGTAGGATTCAAGTCAGTATGGCGACATGGCGCTAATTCTCACCAACTGTCGCTAAAATCTTATACATAAGCGGCAAATTTATCACCTTGATATTTGCTTGGAATTTACAAAATTGTAACAAAAAATAAGTTTTTTTTTTTTTGCATTGAATTCCATGCATTTAAAAAATATGTTGTATTAATTTTATTGTTCTATTTATGATATGGAATTTAGATGCATGTTATTCAAATGGAATAACTGAAAGTGTATAGTACAAACATTTTTAAATTAAATGTTGGAATTTCAAATTTATATGTTGTGCTGTGCTTTGTATTCATGTTCTGACAGTATAATTTTTCATCAGAAAACAATGTTTTGTTCTTTGTCTACATATTTTGTTAGCTCTTACTTTCTTTGTTTTCATCAGTTATTTATTTGGTCAGAGCATTTTAATCTCTATGTTTAATCTATTTGCTAATGTTTTATCTTTTTTTTTCCAATTAATTTTAATAAATACTAATCTTTAATTATTATGGGATTATAATTGAAGAAATTAAATTGTTTTAGGGTATATATTATAGATGGCAATCAATAAATTTTGATGCATTCCATAACATGAATTATGTAATTGTAAGGTTCAGTTTTTTTCTCAAGTTTGTCTATAATATTAAGTTTTTGGACCACTAGATGAATACCTAGGTGGTCGTATTGGACCACTAAATTTTTATTGCTAGTGTGAACCCTAAGTATTAGAACTATTTTATTTATACTTGTGAGAAACTTTTTCATGTACATTGTTTGATAAAATAATCTCACAGAGAATTTATTTTAATATTTTCATTTTTATAAAAGAGAAATTTTATTCATGTTGTTTGTAATAACTTTATTCAATTCAAATAAGTCTAGATAATTCATAATAAAATAAGTCTGAAAAATAAGACTATTGGAAAAATTATATACTAAATTAGAGGTTCCCAAAAGGTGTCCCATGGAAAGACCACTGTGGTTCTGTGAATCAGGATTTTTTTAACCAATTATGATTTTTAAAACCTGCAACTATATTTTTAGCCAACTAATAATTCATTATTTAATTAATATTTTGATTAATTTTATGACATTATTGAAATAAAATGCCAATGAAAAAAGAAATAACAAAATTTAAATAAGTATATAAACTTTCGTATAACATATAGTTCTAGGAAGAAAAAAATACAATAAATTACGAAAAGAACATGCATTTACCAAGAACTGTATCAACATCTATCATCAAATTTTACAATTCAAAATAAAATAACCAAATTTAAAAATAAAGAAAATTTTTCTCTGATAAAAATTCTTACAGTTTACAAGTTCTTTTCAAAAACCGTAAATCAGTTTATTTTGTTGAATTTATGCATATTACATAAAATACAAACCACTGCAGACCTTCCAATTCAGTTGCCTAGCATAAAAAATAATTTTAAGACTGTTTTAGATAAAACAAGAAAAAAATTTCTTCTTAATTAATTTCTCTTCTTTTTTTGTTGCTTAGTATATTAAGAGTTGCTAACAGAAAGCAATTTTTGTTAACTAGCAAATTGCTAATTGAAAAAACAATACTGGTTATAGAAAAACTCAGTAGCAAAAATTATTTGTAACTTCTGATGGTCTGGATTTTCTATTATTTTTCCTCGCTCAATTTGTGATTATGAATTTTTTAATCAATATTTTCACATCCTTTTCTTGGCAGTTAATACAGTTAGTTATCTTCCGACCCAGCAATTTCCACATCAAATTTTCAGCATCACTAAATATATTGAGATACTACTTTAAAAAATGTTTGTATGAACTCTGATTTTCCTAGTAGTATTTGTTAGCTCAAGCAAACTTTAATACTGATTTTGAAAAATAAAATCATATCCTGGTTACTAATGAACTTTATTTATAAAGTTGGGGTTCTGCCAAAAGAATTAGGATTTCGTAACCGAAAAAAAAAATTGGGATCAAACTGAGAAAAAATCTAGAAATTTGTCTATTAAGATTATGCAGTGTTTTTTCAAATCAATTACATTTCTACTGCAGTTTTAAAATAAATGTAAAAAATTTTGTAAAATATACATGATTTTTTTTTATTGAGAAAAAAATTATTTTAAATTCCTTTTAATACAACTGTTATGAACAAAGAAATAAAATATGTTTAAAAGACAAGCCTGAAAGAATAAAATTAAATGTCAAACAAATTACAGTTTAGATTTTGGCATTGATTAAAATAAACATAAAATACATATATTATTCTTTGAATGTTATTATTAAAAATCTTTCTTATTTGAAATTTTTTCTTTTGAAAGTAAAAAAAAAAGTTAAGTCTTGATATTTTTGCTGTTGTGAGGGAAAAAAAAATCTGTTTAAACTTCTATCAGGAGTAGGACTGGGCGATATTAGA